GGGTTAATGTTGGACTTGTGGGCTTGGGCAGCACTGGGTTGGGATGTTTTCTTGATGCACACTTAACCTTTACATAAAGCTCTCTCTTATACATGAGTTACTGTGGATTTGTTTCCCTAAAGTACCCAGACTAATACATTATCAGTCCTACTTTACAAATGAGGAAGCGCAAGGTGAAGCTCAAACAATTCATATGCTTAAGAGAGAGAAGCCAGGACGCTTTTGTGGCAAAATACTGATAATGTCTGAGCGGCGGGGGGTTCATTACACTGTCCTCTTTACTGTGGTGTCACTTGAAAATTAGTTCCAATAAAAACATTTATTTTTCCCATGAGGGGCTGATACCAAGGGCTCAAGTAGAAAGAAAATGTTTTGAAAAAGATGCGGCAACATATGCACAAATGTGCTTGACACAATGGATGGATGTATGGATTGTGATAAGAGATGTATAAGCTGTCAATAAAATGATTAAAATTTTTTTTTAAATTTAGTTCATGGCAAGGTCAGCAGTTGAAACCACCAGCCACTCCAGGGAGGAAAGACAAGGCGTTCTGCTTCCCTGAATTGGTACGATCCTAGAAATACACAGGGGATGCTCACCCTGGCCTCCAGGGTCCCTGTGAGTCAGCATCGCCGGGGCAGTGAGGACAGAGGCTGCTTTGGGGATCATTTCTGTGAAGGAGACATGGAGGAGCCATAGGGTCAGTGTTGGGCTCCGTTGGAGAACACCAGCTGCTCCGTGAGAGAAAGACGCGAATTTCAGCCTTGGCAACCCCACGAGGAGGTGCTACTCTGTGCTAGCAGGTCCTCAGGAGTCAGAATCAACTCCGCTCGATGGTGGTGGGTTTGTTCTTTGGCTTTGTTATTGCTTAGGGAGGTCAGGATGCCCTTGGAGTGATGAGCTGGAAGGAGGCAGTGCTCAAGGACATGGGGTGAGTCGAGTTGTGAGAGCTCGTACTTTACACTCACGGTATGTACCTTTGTCTGTGTGTCTGTCCTGGGCCAATACAAATTCGTTTAAAGCTTAAAGTGACATTCCAAGAAGTGGCGACACACACAGAGTAAATGCAGACACATGTGCATCCCGAAGTGACAGAGGTACAAGTGAAAATGTGAAAATACTGTGAAATACAAGTGAAAATACTGCCATTGTTGCTGACTAAGGCATGATGCTGCTTGCACCAGGTTGTTATTGCTGTTAGCTGCCATCAAGTTGACCCCACCTCACAGCAACACCTCACACAACAGAACAAGCATTGCCCGATCCTGTATCCTCTCCATGACATGTCATGGGTAGGACCATTATGGCACATTTCGATTTCCTTGACTAATCTTCAGAAGTAGATGGCCAGGTCTTTCTTCCTAGTCTGTCTTATTCTGGAAGCTATTATGAAATCTGTTCAGCCTTATAACATCACCTGTACCTCCCCTGAAAGACAGCTCATGGCTGCACATGAGATACATCGGCTGAGACTCAAATCTGGGTTTCCAGCATGGATGATGAGAATTACACCACTGAATCCCAGTGCCCCCATGCCACTCCACATGCATACTAATATTTTAGAAACAAGGATGTTAGCAGGACTATGTGCCTCCTTCCATTCCTGTTTCTCAGTCCAGTATACTTATCTCTGGAAAAGTTTGATTCTCTAAACCAGGATTTGCCAATCCTTGGCTCAGGGTGCTACCGTGAAAATGTAGAAAGAGAGCTAGAGATGGATTTGGAATTTAGATGTATTCAGAGCTTACAGAATAAGATGATCATCTAGCTATGAGATGTAAAGGGGTGGGGGATGAATCAAGGAAGCCTCCTGGGATTTGGACCTGAGCTCCTCACAGACTAGCCCTATTACAAATATATATGTGTTCATGCAACTTAACGTTCAAAGACTTTCTCTTAGATGGCTCCTCACTATACAACAATAATACAAAACACACTTTGGACTGTTTCAAACCTTAAGGAGCTGTTCACACCTGTTTCTCCAATCTCACCTTCTGCTGCCCTTCACATACTTTACCCTCCAACCAAGCACTGCTGCCTTCTTTGTTTCCCACAGATGCAAAGCCCAGTTCACACACCAAAATGCCCATTCCTCATTCTTATGCATCCAACTGCCAACCATCCTGCACAAGTCATTTAAAATGGCACCAGGGAAATTTATAAAACATCCTTGTCCATAGACAAACATCTTGAGGATTCTGGACCTGGGGGCTCAGATCAGTCTCAGTAAACATCAAAGTCACTTGGAATTTACCTAGTGGACTACATAATGTTCCAGGTCCTGCTTTGGTAAGTAGCCCCTAGATCTTAAAAGCTTGTGAGTGGCCATCTATATCACAACTATTGGTTTCTCCCTGTCCACAGCAAAACATATAAAAAAATAAAATATGCACGGAAGCAATTAGTCTAATGGGCAAATGGGCCACATCATCCTTGGCCTCCAAAACCCAAAGACCAGGGGGGAAAATCTACTACTACCAACCAATCTGAAAATAATCACATGAGATATGTATGAGGGAATACCCCCTAAAAATGGCTTTTTCTCAACGTTATGTATATAATTTTTTTAAAACTTATTACCGTCAAAGTACTCTCCATTACACTAAATATTTGTCAAATCTGTGATTCTGTTCTTGGAAATGTTTTTCAAACTCTTCTGTTTGGATGACTGACAGCACCTCCCTCGTTGTTGTTTTTTTTTCACCTCTTCTATGTCATCCAATCGCTGTCCTTTCACATCCCTCTTCATTTAAGGAACCAAAACAAAGTCACACTGAGCAAGGTCAGGAGAGTAGGGTGTGTGGAGCAAATAGGCATGCTGTAATTTTGCCCAAAACTGGTACACTGAGATGGCTGCATGAGCAGGTGCATTGTGGTGGCAAAACCAGTTCCCCATCTGCCACAAATCAGGCCATTTTTGTGGCACACTGTCACGCTATCTTTTCAGAACATCTAAACAGAAAGCTTGATTAACACTCTGACCTGGTGGAACAAACTCCAAATGCACTATGAGTCAACATTTTCATCCATTCATGAAGTTGACGGAGGTCCAGAACAGGGTTTGTCATCAATTGAAATTTCACCTTTTTTGAAATGAGAAAACCAATTATACACTTGAGTTTTTTCCCATAGCTCTGTCTTTGTAAGCTGTGTTCCACATCACAACACTTTCTGCAGCATTTTTTTCCGAGTGGGAAACAAAATTTCACAGCCACACACAGTTCTCTTAAATTGGCCATCACAAAAAAATGAGGCTGAAGCAAAATTAATTTTACAAAAAAATGTACTGTGACCAGAGAGAACCTTCTCTGGTGATGCCACTGTGTGCACTAACTCAGAGCAAGTTGCTTAATCCTTGCCTATCAGGAACAACGTGTACTATGAAAGCTCTGCCCAACTGAGCTTTTTTCTGGCTGTTTTGGGGTACCTAATCATATAAAAACTCAAATTCATAAAAATGACTAAGCTTACTGATGGAATAGAGATTTGTGGAACCCCCAAGACCATAGCCCTTTGTTGCCCTTTAGACGTGGAACTGAACTCACCTCAGTGGCTCATTTTTCAACTGAACAATTGATAGACATCTAAGGTAAACAAAAAACACTAGGCAGGTACGTAATCCATAGAACAATCAGCCCTTTGAGAGGAAAAGGGCAACATTTACCCAAAGATAAAACTCAGAATGCAGAAAGGCTTAGGCAGGGAGGAGGAATGGAAATGGAAATGTAATAAGGGATATTACATTGTTGGGATTACAAACAATGATGTGAACAAAACAGGTATGAATGTTGACTGGAAGGCAAGAGATTTGATCTGTAAACCTTCACTCAATTCACAGTCATAAGTTAAATAAATAAATAAAATACCACCTGACTACAAAGGTGTCCCTGAGCTAGAAGGAATAAAACACCTCTCTCTCTCTCTCTTTCTCATTTCATTGGTCATTTCCCATTTATAATTTAGATACTCATAGTCACATCTTCATCCACCTGTAAGTTTGTTCTAATGTTTTTGGCTTGCAAGTTTTTGTAATCTGGAAGGTATGACACTGCTATACTAGTAGTTATCTATGCTGACAGGTTTCCCTGGAGCTTTCAGAATGAGATAGACTATGAAGAAAGGATTAACTCCCCAAATCAGCCAACGAAAATCTGATGGATCACAACAAAGCACTGTCCCATATAATGCTAAAGACAAAACTCTTAGGTTGGAAGATATAAGAGCTGTAGCAATGAATTCAGACAGGCCAATAATTGTGAAAGCGGTTTAGACTCTGGCAATGTTTTGCTATGGAATATATATGATCACCACATGTCAGAGTCCACATCACAGCAACTAACAAACACAATCCTATCTCAGAAGTAGAAGCTTCTAAAGGGCAAGGGAGAGCTTGAGTTTCATTTGTATTTTTACACCAGCCTACGCCCTGTGCCTTCCAGAACATGATGGATTTCTTACATTAAACAGATAAACCTTTCTTTAAAAATCTGAGGTGGAAAGCTTGTGAAAGTGTGCAAAATAAGAACAATTATATGTGGCCGTGAACAAGAGCTGGTTTCTTGCTCTTCTGGTGATAATCCCTTGAAGGACATCACATTTGAAATGCTGTTATTACTGGGTTCCTACTCACAGCAAATGTCCGTAGGGGATAAAAGGCAGCCTGGTCCTCTCCATCCTCACAAGTACTATGTGAGACTCCATTGTGGCAGCTCTTTTGTCAATCCATCTCCTTGGAAGTCTTCCTCTATTGCTAAGACCCTCTACTTTTCCAAGCATGATGTCCTTTTCTAAGGACTGGTCTCTCCTGATAACATGTCTGCCTTGCCACCCTTGTCTTTAAGGAGTATTTTGGCTGTATTTCCTCCAAGATAGATTTGTATATTCTTCTAGCAGGCAGTCCATGGTACTTTAAACATTCTTCCCCAATGCCCCAATTCAAAGACAACAATCCTCTGGTCTTCCTATTCATGTCCAGCTTTCACATGCACGTGAGGTGGCTGAAAACACTATACTTGCACCTTAGTCTTCAAAGAGGCATGTTTGCTCTTTTAAGTGGTTGGAACATTTACAATGAATGTGACACATGAAAGGAAAGGACAGTAAGCACCTTAAATCACTTAAGCATATAGATAAATTGCTTCCATTTTTAGTGAGCTATTTACACCTGACTATTAAAAACCTCTTGCTGAAGGATAAGCAATGAAGCAGCTCCATTCTTCCTACATTGAAGCAGCCAGCTGCCTCAGAACCCAGCTGAGAAACATGTACTTATCGCACTCACCGAGAGATGTTCCCGACCAGCCTTGTCAGCCACATCTGTGGGAGGGCTTCCACTAGTTCTGTTTGTGGTATCCCCAATGTCATTTGCTGCAGTGCCATAATCTGACATTGAAGAAAGAGAAGAAGCCATGATATTGTCATTAGGTTGCTAATCAACACAAAACTACAGAACCACAGCAAGACACAAAGTAAAACAAGATAAATCTCAAAGATCCTAATCCTCTGAAGACCATGGTTTGGCTGCCTAAAATCAACCCACTCTAGTGGTGGGTGGGCAGAAACCCAACCATTTTATCCAACTGAGATACTTACATCAGCATTCCAAATCAAGCCTCACAGTTTTTCCAGTGTATATATGAGTATATATATAATTGTTAATTTTTAAAATAAATGCCAAAGGGAATCAATCATCTAAGAGTGATAGGGTTGTACAGTTTTACAGATAAAGAATGTCATTCTGGGACAGTTACATGAGAGCTCAAAGGTCCCATAAGAGTGGGAAGACAGAGCCTATACATGAATCCAGGCATACAATCAGCCATCCTGATTCCCTGGGAAGGCATATCTAATTTGGATGAGAGGCAGATACTCATACTGGAGTGTGAATTCAGAACAAACACAGAACTTTGGTTTACATATGAAATTTCTATAGTTCTGAATTATTAATACTCTAGTTCCAGAATTATTTATATGCAGGGAAATATTTTGGTTGGTAGCCAGTTTTACTAGTAATATGTGCAAATTGTCTCACAACATTCTTGGTAAACATGGCAGATGATGTTACAGTATATATATAAAATCTCAAGTAGAAAAGTGCCTTCTTTTCCATCTTCAACAGACTAACTTATTAATTTAGCCCCATGTGAACTTTTCTAAACCAAATTATGAGGTTGGCCTCAGGGTAATTAATGTATTTTTTTATTAGTATAGTGTTCCTCTGAATGTGAATGAAAGTAGCTGAACAAGAACCTAATTTTGCTATTTCATCTTTAACTCTCAAACCCTAATCTCCCCATTTTCATCTTGAATGTCTTAAAACATATTAATTTCAAGTCAAGTGAGTCAAGTGCTAATAGTCATTTGTATATTCTTTATGAATATCAGCCATTTATGAAACTGAAATAATTAAAAATATCAATAATCTAACAGCATGAAATTTTGACCCAAAGATCCAAAATAGGATCTGAAGACATTAGGAAGGGGTTTAAAACATAATTTTAAAATGTAAAATCACAATTCAAGCTTATGTCCCTCTTGTGACATAATTTGAGATATTCCTCTTCCAAATCAAATAAGGATGGATAGAATAAAATTGCAAAAACAGCCTGCAAAAAGTTATCCAAACCAATAGCTTGAGAGAAATATAGCTTAACCTGCATGAAACAGGTAAAAGTGTTGTAATTTCCCATTTATAATTCATTTACATTAAATACACACACATGTGACATAGAACAGAATCATTTATGTAAATATTTATATCTAAATGTATCAAGTATAGAGTATAAATGTAGAATACTGCATATATATGTATCTTGATGAACCTGTTTTTTAAACAACCTTAAATATGAAGACAGTATGTCTGGAAATTTAGCACCACTTCCACAAGGAGTAACCTCCTGTTCATGAATTATCTAGAAAGAAATCAATCTCTGACATTCAATCAAAATCATAAGGTAATGATTAGATATTTGGTGCAAAGCTAAAGCAATAAGCTTTTTGGCATCTCCCAGTTCATGTTCCTAAAAAACTTTATTTTGTTCAAATGTCACTCTTGCCCCAAAGAAACCATCCAGTTCAGGGAAAGTTGAGTGCACCTTCAGGGATAGGTTAAGTTGGTTAAGTTAGTTAAGTTAGTTAAGGATTAACCAGTTAACGGTTAATCCACTCTCCAATCAGTAATAGAAAAGAGAATGGACTATTGCTTAATTGAATCTTGAATGGAATACAAACAGGGTTTTGTTTTCTTTTTTTTCTGGGATGCATTAATTAGTTCGTCCTTTCTTCCATCAATAGGAATGGTTGGAGCCCTCTGCTGACAGGACCTTACAGCCCTAAGAGAAACCAGGCTCCCACGAAGCTGTGGCAATAGGCAGCAGAGGGAAGTGACAGAAGCCTGGGTCCCTGAGATGGCTGTGGGGTTAACCGACCCAGAGTGTGCCCTATCTTGGAAGTTTGGGTGTGTAAGCCAGACTTCCCATAGTACACACGAAACAGATTTGAATTAGGTTTACTATCACAGCAAGAGATATTCAGACTGCTGCAAGTCCTTTCTCTTCCTAGTCATAGCTTTTAAACAGGTAATTAGTTCCCAATTATGGAAACAAAATGTCTGTTACAGCAGAATGGATTTACTACTTCCAAGAACAGAGCAGGAGAGAGAAAGCACTATTTACAGGCACTGTTAAATATCAAGGGAAAACGATCATCAATATTGAATGATTTTTTTGAAATATTATTTTGGCAAATGTAATGCTTGAAGTGTATACTTAACTGAGCTAAATGGTTCCCCTTTAGTCGATTTATTGCATTTTAAACAAACATTTTGAAAAAAATAGAAAATTAAGGAAATATCATAGCTACCGTCATAAAGTACATCAGGATAATTTGGGTTTGCCCCTAAAAAATAAAAACAAAGCAAAGATTCATTAAATATGCATTTGGAGTTTAAAATTTACTACCCTATATCAACTAAAAGGACGTAAACATACTCTAAAGACTTTATAATCAAATAAACTGCTTTACAGGAAAAATACATAAAATATGAAATTCTTTATTTGTTTCATGTACATTTTGCTCCCCTTTTCAGTTCCCCAACCCTTCATTCTTCCAAAATATGAAAAGAAGACAAGAGAAATCATGAACTACTTCAACTGGAAATTCTTTAAGGAATCAATGAATTATGAACAGTGCAGATAATAATTTATGTACCATTTTTGTTATTCTCTTGATGATTTGAAAGTTACTTTCAAACTCTGCTTTGCCAGGTTCCTTTGCAATCATGAAAACAGCAGTAACCACCCATGATAATGGGGATATCTCAATAACACAATTTTGATGTCCACTTAAGTCTTCAGGGGTATTCTGAGGCTGAATAAAGCCTATTCGTACCCTAACAACACCCTGCAAAGAAAATGTCCTTCTTTATTGTAAATGTTTATGTCTAAGTGACTATAAGTACGTGTTTGTCAGACAGACATGTTAAATATATCAACCTAATTGGAAAGATTACCCTGCAGTTATCAAGACGACCAGAAGATTCTGTTTTATTACTGCATTTCCATGACAAAGGCATTCAAAAAATAAGAAATAACTCAGTATCAGAAAGAATTGGTGACCAAATAAATAAGATGCTATATATCTTCGAATAAGAATGAGCTTCGTCTCTATCTGAAAGTCTATTTGGAAATACAATTAAATTTTGATATAATATTTAAGTGACTGAAAGATGAATTTCCAATGCTACTGGTTCAGTCCGCCCTCATGTACCAGGTGAAAAATTCAAACTTGTGAACTATAGAGGTTCCTCAGTTTTCACGTAACTTCTAAGCCCATTGCAGAAAATCCCATTTAAAGTGAAATGAAACCAATTTTCTGCTCATTTTTTCCCTAGTGGATAATCAAGGTAAAAACCAAATGAAAGTGGCCCTCATGTTCAGATAAGAATCTTCCCACATTTCAGCTAGAAAAATACCCCTTTTTGGAAGGAGAAAGGTAAACGAATGGCTGTGTACTGTGACTCCTGGGTGACTGCAACCGCTGGGCACACCTCCAGGGGGCACTGTCCACCCCGTGTTCTCTTGTGAATGACACTATCTGAACTATCTGATGGTACTGCTGCCATTGATGTAAAGCCAAGGGTCCCCGACTCCAATTCAAAGCAGGCTGAATTTTCCTATGTTAGTTGTGTAGTCAGGATTACTTGTAACTGAGGTGATGCGCTCAGAAGAACCCTACAGACCACCCAGCCCTTTGAAGGGGTAATTCAGCAACTGAAGCATCATCAAGCCTCAGCAGCAGCCCTGGGGCATCCTCTGAAATGCTTTCCCTGTGCAAAGTCCCACATGATATCCCCTCGCTGTCGGGACTTACAACGCCTGCTGAAGGAAAGGGTCTATAACCCCAAGTAAACACGGGGTTCCTCAGATTGTTCAGTGATCAGCGCTCCAAAGACCCCAAAATGGATTTATTCCAACTCTTGCAAAGAGACATAACCATTTTGAGTCCACGCCTCACTTTTATACCTCCCTCCAGGTCCCTAGGTCCCCAGAATCCTCTCCCCCAAGTGGCTCAAACCCACTTCTAAGCCTGGCCAGTTCTTGCCCCTTGGATCAGTCAACTTAAAAGCAGATCATAAGAGTCTGAACATCCATGGCCCAGGTCTCAAGGGCAAAGATAAGGCCTGAGTTAAGCCAGAGAGGCTGGCATGTCCACTTCCACACCTGTGTGCCATCTCATGGTACAGAACTGTGCCAGGGGCAGGGGCTATGACCAGAGACCATTTCCATTCAAACTCCAGTGTTCTGGAATGGAACTGCAAGAATCTGAAGACTCTAATCTCAAACAGCCTTCTAGATCTTTCTAAACATACATTAGATAACATAGAATAGATCCGATGTTATCTAACAGCTCATTACCTTGGTTTTTAACTTGTAAAAGTTTTGGACATAGGACATGGGCCTTCATTTGTACTACAGGATGACTAACTCCCCTGTTTGCCTGGAAATGAGGGGGACCTCTGAGATATTGGACATTCTCTTTGAAAACTGGAAAACACTCAGAAACACAGTTTGCCCAGGGTTAACATTTCCATGCTAAAACCAGAGTGTGGATGGTGCCCTCGATTGTTCTCACGCCCTGGGCTCTGAACATGTGCTAGTTGTCCCCAAAGTCACTTTGACAATGGCAAGCCCTTATGAAAGTGGAAGGGCTCAGGATTCAGAGCCAGAGTGTCCAATTCACATATTTAAATGGACTTGGTGAATATAAGTAACATACAGATTTATTCATCCTCATCACAAATGACAGACATGCAAATACATCACACACACAAAGCTCCAAGGAAGAAGCACGAACCTGGGATTCCTCCAGCATATTGAGTATCATGTATGGAAAACTGAGAACTTACGGTGACTATTCAGCACACCCTTAATCTAGAAGACGGGCACACTGCAGACAAGTGAATCAAGTCAATGCATGCTTTCCCTACCGAGTTCACCAGCCAAGATAAGAAGCCAATCTAAGCTTTCTAAAAAGCACTACATTTTCCTGATTTCATTTCTAGCTGTACACTTTGATCTGTCAGGTAAAGCCAAATTCAGAACAGGTTCTGTACCTTGCTGAAAGTTCCTGAGGGAGAAACAGTAACGGAGGGGTTTCATTTTGCATATTTGTTGTGGTTGTTGTTCTTTTGCCATTTTTTCTCTCTCCTCTCTCCCTAGGAAACTGTATTTTTCAGTAAAGAAATGTCTCTTACAATGTATGAATGTATGAAACTTGGTGCATGGGAAGATGCACAGATCAAGAGTTTATGAAAAATTAAGATCACATTCCTCTAGCTCATCAAGAATAGTATTTTGCTTCCAGCAACTTCTCAGTCAAGCAAAATCTCCCATGATGTTTCCACTCCAATAAAGTGGTAGCTATTAACATCATTTTAAAGGCAGACATTAAAAGAGAAAAAAATGAAAACCTACCCCTTTGTTTTATACTTCTGGCAAGGATCTAATTTTGAAAATCGCCTGCCATTTTAAGTCTACATCGTTTTCTTATTTCTTTTTTTTTTTTTACAGTACTAGATATTTGTTAAGTCTACATTCTGAGTAAATGAAGTCTTTCTTTTTGGCTGGTGTAAACACGTTCATTCTGGACACTGGCTAATACTGTGGTCGGTGATGTTGCTGCTCAATCTGCTTCAACTCACGGAGACTCTATGTTGAACAGACAAAAGGTGTCCAGGTCCTACACCATCTTCAAGGTCATTGGTATGCTTGAGGCCCTGGTTGTCCTTCTGTACTGTTAGAGAATGCTGACTTTAGGATGCTCTGAGATATACTAAGAAGTACATCTTAGTATATACTAAGAAGGACTAAGGAGTAGGAGCCCTCATGACATAGTGATTACACATTGCACTGAAATCTGCATGGTCAGCGGGTCAAAACCGAAAAGAAACCGAAGCTAAAACTAGTATGGATTGAATTGTGCCCCCTTCTGTTGAAGCCCTAATCCTGAACCAGTGACTATGACCCTGGTGGAAGGCAGACTTTCTGATAGCCATACTGGTGTAGGATAGCTCTTAATCTGACGTGACTGGTGTTCTTGGGAAAGGACGGATGGCACACAGAGACAGGAAGACAGAGGATGGGTGCTATCAGACCCTGCAGCTGCATGCCAAGGCACACCTGGAGCTTCTAGAAGCTTTGAGATAGGCATCCGAATTACAGTTAATTAATATGGCCCTCCAAGTCAGAATTCCTTATGTGTTATATTATAATTTTGGATTCTATATGTTTGTGGATATCATCCCATTTGGGGGAGCCTTCTTTATTATTCTAATGGGCAAGATTAAGCCAAAACCAAACTCATTGCCATGGAGTCAATTGATGGCAACCCTTTAAGGCAGGGTAGAACTGTGCCTGTAGGTTTCCATGAACATAACTCTTCACAGACTTAGAAAGCCCCACCATTCTCCTGAGAAGCAGCCGGTGCTTTCGAACTGCCGACCACAGCCCCATGGGTAACCACTAAGCCAGCAGAACTCCTAGAATGGATAGGATTGGGATGGGATTGAGATCTGGCCTTAATGGACAGTGTGAATCAAGCCACATCCTTTGTTTCCTTGGGGGCATCTTTGACTCCACGTTAATAGAAGGCATCGTGATGTAAGACATCACCCTTTGTTTTCCTCGGATATATACTGGTACCACTGTACACATCACCTCACCTGGAAAGCCATACCCCTCTTTTCTGACTGACTTTTGGTAGAAGCAAGAACACCTGCTGTGACGTTAGGACATTTTTGACCTCTGCCCGATTTTAGAGCCTGGAATCAAACACCACTCACTATCACATGAGACATTTCCTCGAAGTTTCCTGAGTTTCTGTGAGATGTGCAGGGAATCCAAAACTTGGACACGAGGAAATGGACTCAAAGGAGGAGTGGGGGCAGAGGGAATGGAGCAGAAGAGCATCTTGGAAGAATTAGAAGTTTGGGGGACATCTTTAATCTCCAACTCCTTGGGACTAGTCTGGTATTAATTCTTCTAAAAAAATCATTACCACAGCATTCAACAGAATCTCCCACAAAGTTTCAGAAGAATCAATCTGGCCAACACTCTTAACCATCATCACTTCAAAGCAATACATTTCTGCTGTGTAAAGTCTCTCAGTTCATGGCAGTATGTTATGTCAGCCCTAAGAAACCAATGCATTGACAAGTAAGTAGCATCCAGGCTGAGCAATATGCTTATAGGGGGGACTTGAAAAGATTATGCTTCTTTGGACACTCTCCTAATAATGCTCACCAACCAGGAAGTGTCTGTTTTAGACAGCAGGCGATGGCATCAAGCCCTCAAGCTACATGCTGAAATCGATGAGATACAATTTGGAAACCTGGGAAC